GCAGCCCACCCATCATTTGCATGGAATAATGGACTGAAGCTTACCCAGGGTTGTTTAATTTCCACTTTAGTAACTTACAAACAAGCCTGTGTGGATTTAGAATGCCTTTAGATGTCCTCGGTGCCGTAGAAACGCTTGTGTTGTTGTTGTTCTTGTTTTCTTCAGGGACACCTTTTTTTTTCATTACGGAGCACGCTGCGATTTCAAGAATAGAAGTTTGCACAACAAAGTTCATCATGCATTTTCACTCCATCTACGTAAATAAGACCTTTACCCCCAATGTTATCCCGATTGTGCTTTCGGCATAATGTCATGAGGCTGCGTATTCATTCGGGGGGGGGGGGGGGGGGGTTGAGTGCAATGGGAAGAGTGCTTCAGAGCGCTTTTCTATTTAAAAATACCAAATAGATACCTTTTGCATGGCATCAAGTCTGCATTAACCACACGTAAATGTGGCAAAACATGCAAACAAACATGCTCTGCTAATATTAGCCCAGAGGACATCGTATGGGGCCATCCATTTAGTACGTACGAATGTCTCAAGCGTACGCTTGCGTATGGGGGGTCTACTAACAATGTACCCATAGGAAACGGGGTGGAGGGGGGGTGAATCCTCGATAGTAATTTGTCTACATTGGCCTTCAATGAGTTAGATGATCCGGCGGTGGACTATCTGTTTGCTTAAACGCGTTAATATTATTCATCCTTCATCGTTTCTGCGTGGATTAAATATTGGCCGTTCTATAGGATTCGGCGGGGGGGGGGGGGGGGGGTGCGTCAAGGAGTCAAGTCTTGACAGATTTTTGCGTACGAACTAAATGGATGTCCCCTAACAGGAGCTAATTTTCTGAGGGGTTGCCTCGCTGAGCATTAGAGGGCGGTAGGGGCGTGTCAGATTGTTTAAAGGATGATTGGTGGTCCGTAATACAGGATTTTTGCCTTTAGATCGCAGTAAATATATAAATGTGTCGTTAAACCCACCACCACCCGACACAGCCAATTAGTAAGGTTTGTCACGTAAAGAGAACATGTCAACTCCTCACTAGTTCAGCACACCGGTGTGTTGGAGAGCAAAGCCACAATATTTACAATCTGAGTACGACGTTTCGCCAGTAATTACAACTAGCTTCATCAGGCGATAGCCACATTTGTGGAGAAATCCTCCTGTTTAATTTCTTATATAGAGGCGTAGATGTGATGACATCACATGTGAGCCTTTCTTGCGAGAAGTTGGGGGGGGGGGGGGGGCGGTGGTTCATGAATACATAATAATGATATGGCGGGACCCCGGGGTCCCGAATAAACGGAAGTAAAAATCGTCATTAATTTATTTTTGGCGACTCCGTCCCACCGCGCACTTAAACGCCGCGACCCACCTGGCGCGGATCGTTCTGTTGTCGTTGTCGTCCAAGCGTAGCATGCGAAGACGAACGCGCAGAAGAGCTGAACAAGCGAATGCACTCCATGCTCGGGTTTGGGCAGGGTCATAACAAGTCTTATCCAAAGCTGCTCAAACTGCCTACACGACTTAAGTCCTGTATTGGTCATAACGGTATGCACAATAATACAGTGAAACTGCTCTCTTATCTGCATTATTATTTGTGACCTACCAATGTCTGCAGCCAGGATCAACCGATGACAATCCTATTACCTGCAGATATTTAACAGATGAGATGCGTTGCACCGTTAATTCCTCCTGTTTGATAATACTTCTCTTGTCCGTATGCATCTGTGCAGATAGCTTCTTTTTTGCGATTAAGCCATAGTCCCCACATACCGCTCGTATCAATGCAGATAAGAGGAGCGGCGACCCACTACTCTGTAGAGTAACATTGGTATAAACGCCTGTTACAATATGAACAGCGCATTGAAAACGCGTACTATTTGATGCACTGTTTACAAAGTGCGTTCACAAATCCACACTGAGAAACACGATGATTGACAGAGGGGTGTAAATTATTTTTTCCATAGTGTATTTAAATCGAGGTACTGCAGGTACATAGTTTTCAGTTTTAAAGCCGTAGTTTAACAAGACAACACTTGCCACCAATCCTTCAAACGCATTGGTGAAAAAGAGAAAAAGTTGTTTTTGTTTATATTATAATGTAATGTATATGCGAGAGCCGGGGGCTTACGGGATCCCTGGGCCCCGCCGTAAGGTTCAAATGACTATGGTGGTAAATGTCCGCTATCTTGAAGCAATCTAACATGCCAACCTAACGCTCAGCGACTGTTCGACACAAGCAGACGTGTTGCCTCGTAACGCCACACAGCAAGAGTGCTGTGCCCAAAGCATGACCCCCCCCCCCAGGTCTCTGGGAGTGCACTGCAACCCTTCGTCTTAAAAAAACGGCCCACAAAAGCAGGTATAACAGAGCTACTTCTGAGATATCTTCAAGCAACCTCTGTTTCACACAGTTAAGGGGGCAGTAGTTTCCCACTCTTATGCCATGACAATCATACTGATATATATATATATTTTGTTTATTTATCAGGCTGCAAATGATCCCATGCTCTCATTGGTGACTGGGCTGAGACCATCAACTCACTGCTCTTGAGAACCCAGTTTCAGCACGGGCAATTGCCAGGGGGTTTTAATCCAGGATCTCAGCAGTGCCAGCTAAAAGCTCTGACCTGTGACCATATTCAGTAATTCCCCAGTTTGCATTGGGGATGCGTTCTTGAGAAGTGCGACAACGAATATCAAAACGACGTCAATCAAAGCGATTTATAGGTTAGGTGGTGGAGGCGAAGGCTGAGAGGCGACACAACGAGAATGGATGGACGATGCTGTGTCAGTGACGTGTAGGGCTGAGGCAACGCAAATTGGGTAGTGATGCTAATAAAGCGACGACTTATTTGCAAAACGATGTTAAAGGGGGAGACGTAAATCGGGGTATGACTGTACTTATTATTCAGCGTGCTGCATTATTGTGAAACAATCTCCTGTTTGAAATGTACTTTGATTTGGTCCATTCGAGATATTATTAGCCTGCTTTTCATCAGGCTAATAATAATAAAACAAAAAATCTAGTAATTACTTGTTTTGTTTAAACACCGACATGCCAATTACTGCAAGGAGACACAAACCATATTTTTCAACATTTAATGTTACTGATGAGTTATTTTGCATTGCAGGGTGCTCAATTCTTACATTTTCATTGTTGCATTGTATTGGGCCTGGCATTGGGCCTTCACCAATCTGCACTGACCAGTGTGGTAAAGTATGGTTAAAACAAACCTCATGACTGAAAGGCTTGATGAGGCCTTCATCTAGAAGTGGATTATACACAGTAAAGCATTTTTCTGACATATACAGGGTGCTTAAAAAAAGTTAACACTTCCGAGAATTTGCAACAATGCCACAATAAATGTGCTGCCTCCGGGCTCTGGAGACCACCTCGAGAAGATTACAGGGCACGCGGTTGACAACGATGGCGAACAAGTGGAGACTATTATTATTGTGTTATTTTATTTTATCAATTTATTATTTTATTCTCATTCTACGTGACTTTACCGAAAGAACCAAAGAAGATGAATCATTGCAGTCACGAAAGCTTTAAATCGAAATTTAAGTGGAGACTCATTGACTTTTTGAAGCTATTAACATACATTTTTTTATGTTGCAGTGTTATTATCCGTTATTTTACCATTAAAAAAACCATAGTCCCATATAAGTGTCACATAATTTTTGAAGCACCCTGTATATCGTTTTCACAACCGGCAGAGTGGGTAGTTTGGAGTTAAGATTGGCAGATTGAACCCCATCTTATTTGTTATTATGTAGGGCAGTTTTCAAAGGATTCCTATCAGCTGTGACGTGGATCGTTTCTCCCAACTGAATCTTGCACGCACTTTCCATATTATGGAAACATTGATCAGTCTATTCATAGTATTATTTTTCGTTCGGATTACAAACTCCTGTGCCCTAAAAGTCCGCCCGTAACTACATTTCTGCAGAGCAGAAGTTGTCATATGAATGTTAAACGAATGGCGGAATGCACATACTACACATATTCTTTTAATACTTTCAATCTGCACGAACATTGCCCACAAGATAATAAGAACAGGCATTAGTGTCGGTTTGTACCATTATCCGATGTCCTGGCTACCTTAAAGTGGCTCACTGGACAGAGATGCCCAACCACAGAGGCTTGACAACCCCATAGCTCTAACCAGGCTTTCACAGTGCCCTGCGGCTCTTAAATTTAAAGCCTGCTGTTCCAGTAATAACTGAGACATGGGACTCTGGCTGACTATGAATCAAAGTGACGTAACTTTGTGGGCTAAAATTAAACGAGTCCGTAACCCACAGCCACCTACGGGAGTCAACAGAAATGTACGGAGACGTTAGCGGTCGACTGTTGACACCGGTGACCCCAAAATATTAGGTCAATAAACAATTCTCTGGTGAATTACGGCTGCTTTCATAGATGCGATAGTTTTTTCTTTTTTCACGTCACACAAATTTTGTTCGGTTCACATGGTCACGACGAAACTGTTCAGCCTCTAAACTGTAACTGCACACTGTTGCCCTCCAGTCTGTAAGACATAACAACATCTTGTACACACAATGTCAAAGAAATCGACGGACAATGTTTTTCATCATTGCTATTTATTTGACCATTTTATTTAAAGCCACATCTCTACTGGACGGTTTTAATTACCAATTTGTTCACAAGGTAATATCTATTTTTTTTTTATTATAAATGTATTTAACCCGAGCACTAATCTTTTACATAGCTTCATTTGCCAGCGTAAAAAAAATATAGGAAAATAAAAAAAATAAAATCACTTGAAGACTCCACGGAGATTAATTTCACCTACTTTCTGTACTGCCATCTGGCCACGTCGCATTACCAGGGCATTCACAATATTTCCAAATATATGACACTGAAGTTGTTGTTGGCGGTGGTCGTGTCCCCTGTTGTTCGTGTGCTGCTGCTGCTGCTGCTGCTCGTGGTGCTGGTGGCGGCTGCGGCGGCTTTTTTGGCCAGCAGCATGTTCACGTCCAAGATGCAGAACCGTCAGATGGGCATCGTCGGCCGCAACATGCTGAAGAGCACGAGCGTCAGCGGCGACATGTACGCCCTGGAGCGAACCGACGGCAGTCAGTCGGACACGGCCGTGGGCATGGTGGCGAGCGGCGGCAAGAAGCGGCGGGGCAGCATCGGAGCGAGGATGGTGGCCATGGTGGGACTGCACAACCGCAGCCGCAGCACTTCACAGCTCTCGCAGACCGGTGCGTTACAATTTTTTTTTTTAAAAAAAATATATAATGATAGTAATTGACATTTATTAGGCGCAATTCATCCAGGGATCTCGGCGCGCCATGCACGAAGGTAGGGAATATAAATACCACAAAAATCCACCGGGCATACATTGGCATCGTAGGTCAGGCGAAACAGGTGAGTATTTAGAGAATATCTAAACGTGGAAAGGTACGTACCTGTATGAACTACTGGAGGACAACCCATAGTCTTTGCGCAGAGAATATTCACGCCAGTGTTATTGTGCTGCAGCACCATCAAGTATTCACTAGGAAGCCACTGGAGCTATGCACTATTAAATCCAGATTGAAAAGTCACGTCTTTAGAACTGCTTTTTGTGTTTAGTTTGTAGTGCTCCTTCACCTCCGATTAGCACGGTTGGCTACATACGGTGAAAAGTAAGTTCTACGTACATGCAGTCACATATGTCCCACAGAGTAGGGCAACGCTTGGTCTGAGATAATTGCTTACGAAGTAAACTGAGTTGCAGTGTTAGTACATGAGAAGTGCATGGATTAAAAAAAATATTTACTACACAAGAAGAACGAACAAGTGAATTCACGAATGTGGTTATGCAAACTAGAATGCTTGGAAGATCAACCCTCATCGTTAAACAAACTCATACACTGCCTCGCTTTCACCTGCGTCTGCCCTCTCACCGCAGTCTACTCCTTGGTGAAACACCCAGGGAACTTGTGCTCCGTGGGTGGTCACTCCCTTTCCTCTGCTGCCTCTGTGCCTCAAACTCTCTTCTGGTTGTCTGTACATTTGATGCCTTGGTCCTAGATTATTTGGCTGTTGTCTATTTCAATGTAATAAACCACTTCGTTGAGCTATCATTTGTGGTCAGGCTGCTTCTGAAAAAAAGCTAATAGCTCAGTAAAATATAAAGTTTTTTTCTTTAATAATATGCTTACTTTTCCTATACTTTGCACTCCTATCGTGTTATATTTTTTAATACTGTTTGCTGTCGTAACTTTTTGACCCGCCCCTACTGGACATCTGTAACCAAAAAAAGAGCTTCACAGCTCATCGGATTGCTACAGTATCAATAAAGATTCTGATTCTGAAGTTGAGGCTTCAAAGTTACCTCATCTCGTCTACGTTGACCAACCGCTTCCCTCGTCACCGAATTGTCCCCGAGTAGCGTTCCCTCGCTTATCCAATGGCTTTGAGACACGTTCACAGTTAAGACGATGTGTACATCCAGAAGTGTTAAGTTGTTTAATTGGCTTAGAATTTCCATGCGATTTTGTGCAATTGTTTTATTCCCTGTCTTTGACTTTGTAAACCATGATCTTTAAGAAAAAAAGACACCTTTAATCTTAACGGGTCCTTACCTGGATATATATATAGCTGGTATTATTAATTAATTAAGTTAATTAAAGTACCAATAATTAAAATATATTATTTTCTGGTCGAATACTCGGGCCCCTTTATAAATGGTGGCCACCTCCACCATCCTACCCCGTGAAGTTGGGAAAACCCCTTCAAGCCACGCCCAGGATGAAGAGGCTGATGATGCAGATAACACATGACAATGCCGCACCTCCTGTTCAACAGCACACTGGGGACTTTCACCCCCCCCCCCCCACCTATTTTGTTTTATCCGATAAGTCAAGTGATCGATATTCGGTAGAGAAACTGATAACTTGAAACGTTGGGATAGCCGAGCTCTCGATCTGTTTATCTGCCTGCCTGTATGGTAACGCGCATTGTCGCTGTGGCCGTGTCACAGACTCTGGAGGAAGGAAGCTGCGCAGCACCGTCAAGCGCAGCACTGAGACGGGTCTGGCAGCCACCATGCGGACCCCACTCACTCGACAACGCAGCCGAGACTCTGCTGACGAGTCCATTAACAGCTGCACGTCCGAGGGGAAGTAAGCCCCGTCACGCTTCCACCTGGCTGGCTCTCTCTCTCTCTCTCTGACCGCTGGCCGGTTGGTGAGCCTAGCCATACGATGTGGAGCACCGTCACAATTCACCGCTCTAAAGTAGATGTAAATGAACGGAGCCTGTGATTTTCAATTTCAAGAGTTGGTTCATTGTCTGCTGGTGTCATGTAAGATGTGGATGAGTAGCCACGACCGCATTGTGATTACAGTTGTTGTGTTCTATAATATTTGCACGTTGGCGTAAAAGCCGCGTTAGTGAGCAAGACTGATTATGTTGCCACACGTGCCACAACGTGAAGAATGATCGTGTGGTCAGTAAATTAATGAATCGTTTAATGTTTGAACATTGCTTGAAAGTAGCTTGGATTTTTTTCTGTATCCATTTACTACGTTTAGTTCATCTTGCGAGCAGCCCGGTCTTCTCAACTCACCCTGCCACTGAGTATTCATTTCAAACTAGGTCAGAGTTCACCGAACGTCAGCCGTTCTATACTGGTAATCCTGGACTCAGTCTATTGTATATAGAGTGTTTGTCAGTCGCTTTGATGTTCCTATTAGGGCGGTGGATCCACAGTTTAACCTCCACTCTAAAGTACAGCGTTGCTTAATGATGCCATTTATCCTTCACACAACAGCAGGCATTTATCTTAGCCAGGTATTTATCTTAGCCAACCTCAAAGCAATACCGAAAGCGCAGTGCATTTAAATACAACCCGTAATAGCCACGCACGTGGATGGAGGTTGCAGGGTGACCTTGAGGTGTAGAATACTCACCTGCAAGTTCAAGGCTTGGGAATTTGATGTCAAGAAGCCTCTGTGTAATAATGCAAATGCACTGGATGATTCAAAGTTAGAAGGTGAATGCGGTTTCCCATTCAATTGAGCTTAGGGGGTGAATTTCTCTCATTTACTGCCCCAAGCCAGTGGTGAAAATTCCATATTCCCAGGGTGCGGGGCAAGTATGTACACTGGGGAGCCAATGTTTACGTCTCGCAATGTGGTGCTCATTATATCCACCATTGAGGGGGCATTGGCCTAACCTTGAGTTAAACTCACACAACCTTCAAATTGCGAGTCGAGCACCCTGACCACTTGCACACCACCTGGCTGGCGGTTGGGATCATCAAAATATTGCAGTGGCCTTTGCAGAGAGAGCCTCCCATCTATCAACTCGGAGACGTCAGACAGCCCGTGCGTGGCGTTATTCGTATGGTGTCAGGGACGAACTGTGGACCATGCAAGGCAACGGAGGACCTTGCAGGCACGTGGGCTGCACGCGGCTCGGTGTTTCGATTTTCCGTAGCAGAAGAGGGAGCAGCAATGACGCGGGAAAGATGGGGAGCAGAGGTATAGTACTCAGTGGATGTGCTCTTACCTGCAGCTTGGTGTTTCCCAGTCTCATGTTTGGTGGAGGTTACCAAATCAGCGATTTCCTGGACGGCCTGGGGCCAGCGCAGTTGGTGGGACGCCAGACGCTTGCCACACCTGCCATGGGTAAGCAACGGCGGCATCGCGGGAGGCGTGCGTGCAGGTGTTTGTCGCGGACGCGTTGCTGCAGGGAGGCACTGGGGATAACCGTCGCTCTAATTGCCGATCCGTCCCCGTCACGACAATGAGCTTCGAGGGGAATTCGATGCGATGGCTTAATTTATACTTGATGGAGGAGGACCATTAGGCAAATGAAGAGGTCACATTATATTTCAGTGAACGTGTTACGAGAACTCCGCGGATCTCCATTACGACTTTGATTGTTGTGACGGGGATTCCGCTGCTGCTGCTGCTGCTGCTGCACTGGGCTAATGGGAATGTTCCCACGATTAGATGTATTGCCTCCTTTTAACGCTCCCTCGGTCGAGCTTATACGGGCGCAATTAATCGAGAATTATGAATCGTCTCAAAGCTGCCCCGGCGTCTATACTGGCTTGGTGAGAAACGGCAAGTGACGTTCCGTGATTTCTACCAATCGGCGCTGGTGCTTGTGAGATAAATCTGCTGAGATTGCTGTCAAACTCGCGAGCTGCCAAGGCATTGTATAATTGCATACCATTGCCCGAATTGTCATCTCCATATATATATAAAAAAGGGAAAGTTGTGATTATGTGTGTCTGTTCAAAATGTTTAGCGTACTTCCCGACATGCAACAAACTTGAAATTTGCCATGTGGGTACTTTCCAGACTGTACACCATGCAACAATTATAAAAAAGACACTTTTTTTGGGGGGGGGAGCTCAATAATGCATATATTTATTTATTGCATGGCAAGTGAGCTGTGACGTCAAATCTGTCACGTGACCCGCGCACGTGGAAGCGTAACGCATTGTAGTGTAGCAGTTAGCGCTACACCACGCTATGAACCCGGCGACCCGAGTTCGATTCCCGCTCACGGCCACCACTGGTGGCGATTATTTGAACCGGTCCTGGGCCTCCCCTAGGACGACTCAGCCTCAAACGAGTAACTGGTCTGCTGTGTGAACATCGCCACTGGGGAGACAAAGGCGGCCGGGCGTCGTGAATCCAAGTCCCGGGCGAAGCCGGGTAGTTAAAGCTAGTATTTAATACTCCAGAAAATCTCATGTATTCACACTACTGCTGAGTTGTTTCCTTTGAAAGTAGCTCGTAGATGATTAGATTTTTTGTTTGTTATAGTTTTCGAAAGGTATTATTATTATTATTTTACACTTCGGAAAGTATTTGCATCTACACAGGCATGTAAATAATAATCCTATCTACTTATAACACACCGGCGCAGTGTTCACTCGCTCTCGCAGAAAGAGAATGGCTCAGAGACGCGAGGAACCACAGACAAGTGGGAAGGCAGCCACGCGATGATTTGGTGCCAACAATTGTCCAAGCTCTGCGATCCCGTTTTGTTAAGGTGTTGTTGGCCAATTAATTGAGTGTTTGCATGTGGAACGAGATGGGAAGCACCCAAAGACAACCCCCACATGCGAGGGGAAAACACTCTATCCCATTTAGACGACAAAGGAGGAAGTCCACGTTGTTGCTGGTACTGCCTTCTCCTGGAGAGCCAGGACATTGCACTTCGACGCGCACGTGGAGGGAGTTCAGTAACATTTGTGCTATGATCCACCAATCCCCGCCTCCACAGTGCTGGATTACAGGCCCTGTGCAGAGCACATAACTGCCCGGCGACCATGTGTCAAGGTTGTAACTGACAAAAACGAACTATAGATTGCACATTTTTTTATTTATTAAAAAAAAATTGTAACAAACAAGACGTGACTTGCTGGTATCTTTTTTAAGTTAGTGTTTTATATATATATTCAAATGTTTTTTTTTTTTTTTATAGAAAAATACGTGCCCAGTCTTGTCAGATCTTGGAAGCTAAGCGGGATTTTAGCCTGGTGAGTGCTTGCAATAGTGAACACCAGTGCTTGCCAGGTGTTGTAGGTGTGGTGCTGCGAGGTGGCCAGGAGATGGCAGTGCTGAGTATCACTTCCCTCGTAAGTGCACAGTCTTGCACCCTTTCAAGGCATTGACATGAGAGTATTAGGTTGAATTGGTCAAGCGTTAAACCAAGACATACTCTACGAGAACCTTGGTTCAATAGTGTGGGCCACCGTTTTTTAGTAATGTCTTTCTCACGCGTGCTCACTTTCATGGTCTCAACCTGGTCGCTGTTGATTTAAAGGAAAATATACAGCGCGAGTGAAATGAGTGCATTTATTATGGGAATTATCAACGAAGATGGCACTGATTTCATAACAAATGACCATCTGCCAAGCTAATTTTGCTAAATGTACAACCTTCCACCATGAGATGTATTGAAAACTTGGGAAGTTTGGTAAATGCTATATATTTTTACAAACATTATAAGACCAATAAGTAGTTTTAGAAGTGAAGAAGAGACACTCTAGAATTACTAACGTATATATATCTTGAGTGAAGGGATATATTTTAATTTCCTACGACGTCACCTGTTGTTGAGCGCGGGCGGCTTTTTTTCTCCCTTCCGCGTGCGTGGCGCTCTGCAGGTGAAATCCAAATAAGTATGATCGACAAGAAGGGGCAGCTCGAGGTGGAAGTTATCCGTGCCAAAGGACTTGTCGCAAAAGCCTCAGCCAAAACCCTTCCAGGTGAGATTACGACGCCGCTGTTCACTCTTAGCCCGGCTTAACCCGCAACTCAATCACGCCGATTGTGCAACGTTTTCTGCCACCAAGCATGCCTCGTTCGGATTATAGGGTTTTTGTGTCCGGTGGTGTCTTAATTATAGCGATGCTTGAAATCTGTGTGGTTTGCTTGTGAATGCATGCATTAGTTCATCCACAACTGAACATATTCCAAATGTGAATTTCCACACGCTAATGATTTCATCTGGCAGTGCGATGGCAGTACAGTGGCGAGCGAAATTTACCCATGAAGCCGATGACCTAAGTTTCATTTCACCGCCACGCCTAGCATCGGTGGCGAGTGATATCCGAACTGAGCTCGGTGCCACTGCTCACCAACCCACGCTGACTAGCATGGTGAAGCACAGGATGGTCAAACAAACCAGATGACGCAGCATGGGGGAGCCTTAGTTCAGCATCGGATGGGCAAAGGAGCTGTAGGTTGCATTGCTTTCAGCAACGGAGATGTGCACCGCTCGACGCTCGCCATCGCGCAGAGATGCTGAGACTTTGTGTTCGTGCCTGTGACCCCGTCTCCTGTCCAGCGCCGTACGTCAAGGTGTACTTGCTGGAGAGCGGCATATGCATCGGCAAGAAGAAGACAAAGATCGCGCGAAAAACCCTCGATCCCCTGTATCAGCAGCCACTCCTGTTTACAGATGGCCCACAAGGAAAAGTATTGCAGGTCAGAACAACCGGGACACAATCATGCCGTACCCTACATTGTCAGTTGATGGGCAGTGATGCAAAATCAATTGTACAGTACTATGCTATTCTCCATTGTCTACGTTCCCTGCCTTCATTAATCGGCATTGACCAGCGCGGTGAAGTGTGGTCACATAACTTCCACGGGGTGGGGAGGCCCTCATCCAGCAGTGGGTGGACATAACAAAAGGGTGGCGCATGTACACAATGAGTGTCACACTGTGGGAGGTCAACACTGGTTGTTCCCTGGTGAGACTGGCACCCACCATGGAAGTGTGGAATTTCCACCACTGGCTTAAGTCAGTGCTGCCCAAATGCTCTTTTAAGAAGGGAGACACTGACTCCCTTCGATACCAAGGTTCTTTGCAAACCCACGGGTTTTTATCAGAGATTTGTTTACGAGGCAATTCAGATCTACAAACACAGACACAATTTCAACCGAGAAGATGGTTTCAAATTAAGCAACCATTGGAAAGATGTTCTAAATCGAACCAAACATTAAACTAATTTTCAATGTTACAGTATATTTTTTCAAGTAGTGGTACCCCAAACTTTCGCAGCTCTTAAGGATTCCCTTTTCACACCATCAATGGGTAAGCTCCCCCCCCCCCCCCCCCCGCGCCAACTGGCATGTGCACCCGCATGTACACCGCCTCTACACCGTTCATCATGCTAAGTCGGCCAATCAAATGCTAATTTTTATGCTAATTCCTTTGTCAAGGCACCTTGTTTCCTCGCACACAGCTTAAAGGTCGCGGTCTGAGCGTGGCTGTGTTTCACTCCAGCACTGTCCTCGAGATAGCCTGGTCCCTTCACCTGATAAAGGCCGCTTGTGTTGTGGCCGAAACGTCGTGATTTTTGTTGTTTTCTTTTTTACCTACGTGACTTTACCGAATAGAACCAAAGAGTAGAGACACTGACTCTTTTTGTCTTGCTTTTATTTCACACTAACTATATTTGTAAACATTCTGAATCGTAAAATACTCTCCAAGATGATGGCAAACTGTCGAGGTGACCTCACATTAGATGAATGTGCCTACCCTTTGTCTAGAAAATATGCGTGAGGATTATTAGTTGCCAATAGCGTGTAGTCGTTGCAGCTGTATGACAAAGTGAGAGCAAATTTAAATGCCCCCCATATTTGTATTTATACTTTCAACGCAACAACGTAGAGGAAAGCACAGTACGAGGGTACACAACATTCTCTGCCATCCGCGCTTCCATCCCGGCTTTCGCTGAATTATGGCGAAGGTATAAGTTTCACACTGATTGATTGGTCAAAATGCAATGGGCTTTTTTCACAGCGGCTGAGAAACATGAACCACGTTCGCATATCAGCTGATAGGCCTAATGTAAAAATGTCTGCCGACGCAACCTATCAATTACCGCGTGAGGTGCATGATGCGTAAACGTTATATGCTGCATTTGTGAAGCCTGCCGAGGCATCCGTTTACAAAAAAAAACACTCACTGAAGAGCGAGCGGCTTGCAATCGGAAGGTACTGAGGTCAAATCCTGGTTGCGTTGACTCAGCCCTTCATCCCTCCGCAGGTCGACATCACGAGCGCCGCTTTGTTGCGGAAGTCAATGGTGGTTTTCCCATGGAATCAGCCCCACCATAGGAACGGGGGATTCCCACTTCCGGCTCAGGGCTGTAAACGGAACAGCACCGCCTCAAATGCTCATTTTAGCAAGAAAATCACCGTTGACCGATTGCATCAGTGTCTCACCTGCTGCAGGAACTACGATGCTTATTACACTACCCCCCTCTCGCTCACTTTGCCGTGCGTGTGTGTGTGCGCGCGTCGAATTGATTTTTCCCCGGCGCTGCGACGTGGTCGCAGGTGATAGTGTGGGGTGACTACGGCCGCATGGACCACAAGAGCTTCATGGGCGTCGCTCAGATCCTGCTGGAGGAGCTGGACCTCTCCAACATGGTGATCGGCTGGTACAAGCTCTTCCCCACGTCCTCGCTCGTGGACCCGACGATAGCACCACTCACCCGCCGTGCTTCGCAGTCCTCCCTGGAGAGCTCGACGTCCTTCGCCCGCTCGTAGCAAACGCCAAAATGAAAGAATGCATAATTAATTTCCGTCGTTGATATTATTATTATCATCACGACAACTACTCTTGTTATTACGAGCTGCGACGGGCGGGCGGGCAAGGGGACACAGGCGAAAGAGAAACTTTTAACGAGCCCTGCAGGTTGTTTTGTAACCCGAAGCTTAGCCAAAGGGCACTTGGTCAAAGTTGAGACGCCACAATGTTGGGGGTTTGGAGGGTGGAATACACAGCTTGGGGGGGGGGGGAAAGTGGTAGTTTTCAGCTCTGCACAAATAAAGAGCCGTGAATGTGAGGGCGGTTGTTTACTCTGTTGACAATTACGAAGAGAGTAATTAATAAAATAAAATCACTATTTTGAAATTAACTATTCTTGGGACTTTTTGCTAATGCTTTTTAATGTACTGTAATCCTTTACATAACCGAGCTGATTCTATGAAATCACTCTGAGACTGTTGAAGGGATAGGCTATTTATTGATTGCTTCCATAATTTCGAATCAGCATGGTTTGAGCTGGGATTAGCCGAACGAATAGCACACTTTTGTGTGCCGTAAGGAACGTGTAAGTTACTTGGCAGTGTATGAAAGATAACTTGTGTTCTGTGGTGGAGATGGGGAATGATGGGGAATACCTTGGGGAAAGGGAGGTTGTTTTCTTTCTTGCGAATCCTCTGAAGTTGCCCTTTGCTGTGGATGCGAGTGATGGACACCTTGTTTCAGGGTTACGAATGAAGTGTTGAAAGAAGACGGGAGGCATTTGTGTCTCTTCTTCTTTGCAAAGCAAAACAAAATAAAAGACAAAAGAACACAACAAAGAGAAGCTTATGGAAGACTGAACAAGAACTTCCGTTTGTACTGACAAAACAATGGAAAATGTCACCACGACGTTAAATAAATTGATGAATTGTCCTGATATCATGATGATAACTCTTTTCGATCGTATTGCATGAAACTCGTACGATAAATTATATCCATCCCAATGGAATTTCCTTCTGCATTTTTCCATATGAAAGTATAATCTAATTGAAGTAAAAAAAACATCACCTTTTTTCAAGAAAATAATTGGTCCATGAATAAATACGAGGCAGGTAAATTATCGCTTTGGAGGGTGACATTATTTTTACGGTAAATGTTTATACGACTTGTGCAAATGAAAAAAAAAACGATGTAATTGTTTGTAAAGCACTCTCTGATCAAGACTGCATGTTTTATTAACTTAAGGCAGAAAATCAGCGCTTCATTTTAAATAAACCTTAGCGGCTATAAATTGAGGTCTTTCTCTTGTTTGTTGAGCAATTTGTAATGACGATGTTATTTCTAAGGTACTATATATAAACTGGTTTTGCTTGTCCTACCTGAATATTTTTTTTTTTACAAGTCAATTCCCAAACCCTTTCGCCTATAAAGCTACTGCGACAAGACTTTCGACACAACTACACAGAGAGAGACGTATAAATAAAACGTAACGAATTGGATTTCGTAGGCATTAAAAATGTTTGTAACTAAAATGCGTTTGAATTACAGTGCAGGGTGTGTGGTATGATTATACTATCCTATTACAGTGATAGTGTTTACGACAAAATAAATATTTTACCCATGTTCAAACCAAATTCACTAAACTGTTTATGCAACTACCTATGGTATATATATATTACGATATGCAATTTGCAGTATTTAATATTCAAAAGCATACGATACTTAATATTTCGTACTCAAAATTAGACCACAATAAGACCAACTCAAACAAAATAATCAAGCGGTGTAGAGCTTTTGAGACAATTACCTATTCTTTACTTTAAGGAGTCCAGGTGTATTGTCCTACAAGTGCCCATTTGTTGTTAATACGGCAAACCGGATTTACATTTTATATTCACAATCAAATGAACATCAAGCTGCAAGTCCACAGACAGAGAGAGAGAGTGCCTACACATCTAACACGAAGTGGCTTTTGGTCACAGCTTCCAATAAATGTGTAAGGAAGGATAAATCATCAGTGTTTTGCTTTGGCATATTTTGCAGACAATTAAAATGTTCAATCTTGCAATACCGTGGATACTCTGCAGCTATGCACATACATACCTACATTTGATATGGCATTAAAAAACAGAGTTTAAAGTGAACATGGACGCGTTATATACATTGTTTTTAAGAGAGTTGGGTATATAACTGGTCTCCAGGCTGGCCTTGATAAAGATGCAGCACAAATTGGCCATTGGTTCAAAAGCTCAACTGACCAAAACAAAGACAACGTGTTTTCCTCTAGCTGATAGTTTCACACGGTTTTGTTTGTTTGTTACATATACGTATTAAATCAATCAAAATGCATATGAACACAACATAAACAATCCGGCACGTATGCATTAAAAAAAAATAACAATTCGATTGAATCCTAAGAACTGAAATTATCTGTGCGTTAAACAACACGGCGAAGCTTGTTGCTTGACTGCATCGCAAAGGGTTGAGTTTTTTTTTTGCTATTGCCTGACCGATTTTAAACGGGCCCTTCATAGCATTGGGGTCACGCACCCAGCCATTACTATAGAAAACAGAGAATCGCATCGCCAAGTCCACAAGCTGTTTTGCTGGACATTGCTTTGCACTCTAAATGCAGGGAGCACTCCTCTCATCCGTTTCCCCGATTGCTCGCCACTCCTCATAAGAACCGCTGGGTCCCGCGCAAAATCCCAATTATTAGCAGGCCTACTCTTCCAATTATCCCCATTTGTTTCCCCCCCCCCCCCCCCCGTGGAGAAGCGGAGCATGGACGATAACGCTGCGGTTAATAGGATCCGTGGTACTGCCCCCCCCGCCCCGCATCACCACAGATAAGAGGAGCATTGGCGGTGCACACTACGCCAGTCTGCAAGGATGTCCCACGCATAGAGGGCAGGGTGGGGGGGGTGTTTGGGTGTTTCCTGTACAATTGTACATAAAGAGCAAACATTAAATTAGGTGGTTGCATGACATATTGTTTTCCTTCGACGTGAGATCAATGTTTTTAAGACTCCCCCCCCCCACCCAAAGCCATTCGAGAAAGTGGACGGTTATAGGTGAAAGGGTTTCTCGGTATTTGCAAATATTGGCCTTATTTATATTATTTATGAGATGAAAACAATGTCCACTGTAAACTCGTGTGAGAGTACGCATAGCATCATGTGTTTAGTGTGCTGTGGCTCAAAGTGAATGGCCATATGCATGAACAGGTTGCAATTATAACCCCTTTTAAGAGATAAAGGTAGGTTGCATGCAGTGAAAACAAATGAAGAGAAAATTTAAATCAGGAAACTTTTACCCCCTCAGATGACCTGACTTGCAGTCACTTTCCGGACAAAATGTAATGCACGCTTGGAGCTTATCTTGTCAAATCGATGACTTTTCACATTTTGTTATGGTGAGATTGTCAAATTATTGTTATACAAATCCTTGGGCTAGTTAAGGGGAAATTTACGTGGTTAAAAGACACAACCCTGATGTATTGCATATTATAAAACAGTTTGCAAGGAGTAGACACACCTCAGATGTTTCTTAATTTTCGTGTTGCATGTACAGTCAATTACGAGAGATGAAACAAGGAGAGTGAAAAAACCCTTGTCTTTTTATAAGTCATGATTTTTTTTTGTTCACGAATAACTTCTGTGGCCAGTTCATTTTGTTTTCAGTGTGGTTACAGCCTTTTTTAAAATTGTACAGCATGTTTATAGATACTATTGTCGTTTCCATGTAAAATCCAACAGAAAACGTAATTTCGCCAAAACCAACCTTTGTCGCCATAATAATCCTTAACAAGCATCGGCCGCCTATTTATTTAATCTTAAACTGTTTGAATATTCGGGGTGGAGAATCATGCTATTGTGACAACATTACATTTTTTCTTTTGTAATGCAAAACGAGTCAGGTCGATAGTGCGATTGCTTCAAAGTGTAAAGAAAAAAATAATACAGTTTATTTTGAGGAAGATGGAAACAATGTATGCTTGTCATTTATTTTCTGCACCACCTACCGCTCCTCGTTGCATGAAAACTGGTGTTTGCATTATTATTGGCTGAATGACTTTGGAACAGTCCACGTCTCTCCAGTGTGGCGATTTCGACGGAGAGATGGACTGTGGTGGAAAAATGTGTAAGGGGAACTAAATTGTGCGTATGTCCTTAAACCGAGAAAGATCTCTTGAGAATGAGTGCCAGTTTGTTTTGTTTTGCCAAATTCTCTTTCCGTGTTCATTTTTTTTTACGTGTTCAGTTATACTACAGATTAACTTATTCCTTTACAATACATGAATACAACTCGACAGAGCTCACTTCATTTGAAATATTTGAAAATGAAATGCCTTGTATGACTCGACACAATGTATGCATTGCATCCATATGGTTTTTTTTTAATTTACGTTATTTTTGTTGTTATGATTGTCGCACATTTGGTATGGTTCCCTACTTTACTGTTTCGTTTCCTAATGAGACCACACTGTAAATAACACACTGGAGCCTAGACACAGGTCACCTCTGCATTTAGTCAATTTTACTAAATGTACGGTGTGCCACGTATAAAGCAACAACTTGTATTGGAGTTTCGGAAATAAATAAATAAAAAACATACAAATTACTAAAAAAATGCTTTTTTTTTTACAATGCCTACAAATGTCTTGACTTTTTCCTTTACAGAAATGCCCATTAGGCAAATCCACTTCTATAGTGATGATGCTATCCGTGCACTCAGGGTACACGCTTAAGTTATGTGTCACGTGTTCGCGGCATTATTTTTAAGGTGAATTAAGGTACGGTAACAGTAACACGGCAGGACGCTGTAATCCACGGGCGTACCATAAAGGTCACTCCCGTAAATTCTGGAAAGTAGCCGCGAAACTCCACTTAAGCGTAGAAAATTGTGTGGATTGCAGAAGTGGGGGAATAAGACAGGCACCAAAATTCGCGATAAAATTCGCAGATTGTGAGGTTGAGTTTTTTTTACTAAGACCCAAATGGCGCAAATCTGCCATACAGATCTATGTCCGTGTACTTCATTGCAAGGCCCGCGAGCCACTGGCGCCTCCTGGTGGCCTTTAGTGCGGCCGCAGACAATACACAACATGTTAAAGGCCCCTTGCAGGCGGTGTGGCGGCCCTTACACTGAAATCTTATCGGTGAAAGTGGCCTCTCTCTGAAAATTAGCGAAGAACACTGCTCTATGCGTTAGAAAAAAATTGTTTGCATTTGTATTGGCTTGATATGCAATTAAAAAAATGGAGAAAACAAATCTATTCAGAAAATTGCATAAGCACAGCTAGGCTGCACTAATGCAATAACAACGAATGACAAGTCAAAATGAGGACCTTATCACCGGGTTTTTCCCGCAGTTCCACTCCTGCAGTTCCACGTTAGCCCCGTCACTTTTACAGACTTGCAGTTCTGCAGATCACGGTGCATTTTTCGAAATGCACCACGGATTTCGAGATGAATGAGCCATGTCACTCAATCCACAAATAAAGTCACGCATTTTGAGGTAGGCATGACCCGCATGGAAATCCGTGGACGTAGCATGCCGAGAGATTACAGGAAGACTGCGCTGCTCCTGGAAGAGATTCAGTTTGCGCATATTTGGAGTATTGCTATAACATGTTATTTACGGCTAATATCTCAATTTTATGTGAAGAGCTGCATACGGGTTAGGCCTTTTTGATAATAGACTACAAAAGGCAAGTTCTGGATAGTGTCTTGTAGTCCTCCAGGCTTTTTTGAATGTGGAGGTTTTTTTTTTGGGGGGGGGAATAAATTGTGACCGCAATGATAATGTAAACATTTTTGCGCAAGCTAGTAATACAATTCAAAGTTTGTCAAACCATGCAGACCACATGTATACAATATGTTTTTGATTTACACTATTTAGAATCTAAATGCAACTCCATCTCAATACGCAAGAAGACTTACAAATGCATCTTGGGGTGGTGGCCATGCGCACCTGTAATTCAGCACTGCGCGTGCAGCGAAGGTTGGTGGTTGATCGCGCAAATGTTGTGACGCTACCTTCCCGTGAGCGTTGAGGTGCTATATTCTGGCTTGCCAGGAGAATACGATACAGCGCAATGAGTATTCGTCTCCATCTGTTCCATCTGTGTGGGTTAAGAGTGTTGCCCCCTCTCACTCATCGTTTTTTTTTCCAGTGTTCCGATTTCCTCCCACATATAAACGCTCATTAATTGGTTTAAAACATCTTCATGTATAGAGGACCGCAGAGCTTGGGCAAGTATGGCTGCCTTACCGCTTGTCTGTGATTCCTCGCGCCTCTGAGTCATTCTCTTCCTCTGTGAGCGTGAGCTAACAATGTGTGTTTACAAATTAAATCATGTTTGTATATCTTGACATACATGGACACATGAATCGACTAGAAATGTATACCATCCCTGCATATATCTTTGCAAACACAAACTACATGTACGGTAGTTAGTCTAGGTCAAGTATAATGAACACGTATGCTTCCGTGACCAATATTATCCATGATTAAGTGTTGGGTTAGGTGGAATAAGTATAAATGTGAAGTACGCCCACCTCCATTCGAAGCCGATTAGTGAGGTCATTTGAACAGAACGTGCAAATGTATATCTGGTTCAGCATCATGGTAAATGTGTCATCAGGCATTTTCCATGTTGCTGGTTGTAACGTCCTCAATTGTAAATGTTCTAGGTTGCTCTCTATCACACTGGCGGTGCTGAAATAGTAAATAAATTGGTACGCTCTGTTCACGTGACAACCTTGGCTGGGACATTACTATTGTAGTATAGTATTCATTAGCGATGATATATTCTTTGGATCTTTCGGTAAAGTCACGTAGATAGGTTCAAATAAAATAACCTATCTACGTGACTTTACCGAAAGACCCGAAGAATATGAATTCCCGCAGTCACGAAAGCTTTGAGTGAATATTTATTAGGGATGAGTTTAGGATTTTTAAGAACAATTTTGGATCTTTTTAGATTGTCAAATGATTCCCATTAAGTACACCTGCAAAATGTATTCAGCGCTGAACAACCGTGGCATCACTCTCTGCCACTTGACACCACTTTTAGTGGGAAAAGTGCAAAAGTGGCATCACTTTAGTTGCATCACTGCCGATTTCCAGATTAATCCACAAACAAAATGTTTTCATACGATACAAAATATAGCATCTCGGCCTGATTTTTGGGATTACATAAAGGCATTTGGAGCACATCCCTATTATTTATCATCAACCATTGAGCCATATAATACGTACATGTGTAGTGAGTTCAACTGAGTTGCAGACGTAGACTTGGAGGCAACACATGTATTCAGTTCGAACACACGGGGTAACTTTCCCCTTAACAGAATAACAAGTTGTGGTGGTGACCACCAGGCTAACTACACTAGTTACAACGTAACTGGTGTAGTGAACCTGGTGGTGACCACCAGGCTAACCACACTAGTTGCCACGTAGCTGCTACTACGGACCGGGACCAACAGCTCGGGTCCAGGTCCACGTGTTGGAGACTTGTTGAACGGAGAACGTAGACGAAGGGTTAACTTCCAGGATGAACAACAACAACCCCGGGTCCCTCTCGTGACCCGGATTATATTCTCTGCGGCGTGGCTGGCTCCGCCCTTGGCCACGACCACCTTCTAGAATCCTCGGGAAGGATCTGGATCCCAACCACGTGACCACCCCTAGCCCCCACTTGGGGCCCCTTTGTAGACTTAACTGGTCACGTGTCCTCCCGGGTCAACCAGAGTGCCATGGCCTTTAGTAACCTCATCCCTACCGCCGGCACTCACACACCCTGCCCTGTAGGGTTGGCACTGCACGCCAAGCGTGGTGTCATCTAGCGCTATCAATCAGCGCTCACCGTACCTCTCTAGGGCCGGCACTGCTTGTTGATACCCCGCGATGTCACTACACATATAATAAACGACATCGTCGTGATATTTTAACGTCGTGATATATATATATTTTTCATAGATTTTTTTTTTCTACCTACGTGACTTTACCGAAATAAGCAAAGCGTATTATACGGTACTTAATATAAGTCCCAAAGTGTATACAGCTTACTTCAATAAGTAGTAGATGAATATCTCTTTATTATATCAACCACAGTGATTAACATGCATTGTACAATCAGACGCCATACATTAATTGAACACAACATACTTGGGAAATCAATGAGTGATTTTAAACTCCGAACGATCAATGGTTGTGTTGCGTTCATCCAACAAACAACTGGCGGTGGGGGGGGGGACAACGGCCACACATCCTGTACAATTAAATTATTGAAGGTGGATTAGGAATAAACAAATTACATTTGAAGAGGCGAACGAGAGGAGGTTGGAATGCTTTTGGAAAGAAAAATAACTGCAGTTCATTTTGAAAATCACATACCGATGTGCCCGAAGAAGAGAGTGTATCTTCTTGGTTCTTTCGGTAAAGTCACGTCCTACCAGACAGTCTCGTCCCTTCACCTGATGAAGGCCGCTTGTGTTGTGGCCGAAACGTCGTGAGAATATTATTGTGTTATTTTATTTTATCAATTTATTATTTTATTCTCATTCTACGTGACTTTACCGAAAGAACCAAAGAAGATGAATCATTGCAGTCACGAAAGCTTTAAATCGAAGAAGAGAGTGTATATTAACCTGCAATGGCATGCATTGGAGACATGGAGACGGACAAGGAAAGTGAAACAAAAGCTGAAAAGTGTGCTAAAGAAGCGTGGAGGAGAATTAAAAAAAAACACGTTTGGAATTGCACTGGCAGAAAGGGGATCACATTCATCTGAGAACCAAGGCACAATTACGGCCACCCTTTTAACTCGAGAAAAGTATGTGGGCACGCACAGGACACATCACCAGAGGGGATGATGGGCGGCGGAAGTTCACGGCTAATGATGGATGACAGGCAAAAGGCGAGAAAATGTCCCGAGAGAATAACTGCTGCTGCCGAGAGAGATGAAATCGGCTCATGTGCCCTTGGGAAGCCCTTGATCAAGAATTGGGTAGATTACACCTAATTATGGCGATTATCGGAATTGACAGACCTGCCATTGAAATGTGTCCTCATTCACATGAAATCGCAGTGCTTGCTGACTTATTCCCATGCTGTATCGGGTATCACTACTTGAGACCAGGTGGGTGTACACTGCTCAACACAACAGGGCA